GTTGTAATAGCAAAAGTAGTAATGTATCTAGTTCTAGTTCTACTGGTTTTGAAGCTTTCTCTACACTTTGGCATCTTAGGCTTGGTCGTTGATGTGAATTTTCTCGCACTTAAATTAGTAGTAGAATAGCGGTGAAAATACGAGTATCGTCTCCACAGGGACGGACAAGGGAATTAAGGACTAACTACATTCAGCGATTAAAAATAAATAAAATAAATGCAGTCGTGCGAGATTTGGTTGATTGAGAAAATTAAAATTGCAAATAAACGAATAAAAGTAAAGATTTGGGTTCTTCTTAATTAACGACGAAGGGAACATGGATTGATTCCGGGGTAATCAGATTTACAGCAGATCAGGCATAATTACATGAATTTAATTTAATTGAGCCTAGATAATCAATACTAAGTTCTTACCGCTCTCGCGGCGTAGAGTTCAATAATTTAAGGGACCAGACCGATCTCTCATGCAACAAGATCCTAAATTATTGTCAAGACGAGCGAGCTTACGGCCCCTTAATCGCTACTAATCTCTTAACGAGCGATTAAGTGTGTGTGAATGTGTCCTAGAATAAACTAGATCTCTCTTAATTTATTCTACAAGCAATTGTAATTCTAGCTGCGGTTCCAGATTACAAAAGATATCAGTTAAATTATTCAAACACAAATTAAACGACATTCATGCAATTAATCCATCAAGAAACTAGCCATACATCATGATTAACCTCTTCATCAATCCCAAATCCCTAATTAAAATTACTCCCGACTCATAATTGAAGAATCAATAGAATTGGGAAAAATAGAAATAATTATCATTAATTAAAAAGTAGGAACTTACAAAACAGGGTTAGGAAGGCTGAAAAGCTCTCAAAATTCATCCTTAAGCTGCTCTCTAAGTTCCATCCCAAAACAGGGTTAGGAAGGCCTTATTTATAGAAAAAGGGAAAAAATTCGAGTTCTGATCGAACTAGGACAAGGTTTTTCACCGTTTCTCTAGTCCTGTATTTCACCATTTCTCTTGTCCGAATTTAACAAAACTTCATTCATGAAAGTTGTAGATAATGACGTCCTCTATCCACCACATTTTTTTGAATTGGATTTGAATCATCCAATCAAGAGATATGAATAAAATGGTGGAAGGTCTCATTCTGAAATCGCAACGGGTATCATCTGACTTCATCGTCTGTTTTCACCTTCTTCCTATCCTATTCTCGCAATGATGTCTTCATTAGATTTGTATCCCTTGAAGTTAGCTTTCATATGCAACTTGAATCGTGTCCTTTGGATGCTTCTACAAAGAGATATGCTTGAACGATTGACATAAGGTCATTCTGAACGTCGTTTTCAAGCTGTATTTGTCTTCTTTTGATCCCGTAGCCAATCCTAGAGCTCTTTTATCATCAAATCTTCATTGTGAACCTCCCGGTGACCTCCAAAGCTCTCAATTCACTCTCGAATGCTTCTCAAATCCTCCCGATTGCTTCTCTAGCGCCAATGCTGGGCTCAAATTCCCTGATTTTGACTCCAAAAGACATAAAACTCGAATCAACGCCTGGTAACATAACTTGAGCTAAAATTGAGACTTGTAACACCTTAAGGCTAGGAAAACCATCACAAGTCGATCCAAACACGCATCAAATGCGTGTCTAAATACGGACTTATCAGATTCCCCACACTTAAGTCTTTGCTTGTCCTCAAGCAAACTGAACAATGGGACTTACGATAATCACCACACGGAATTAAAATAATGAGCATGCACAAGTAGTTAAAGGGATATTCACATAACAGAAAGACTAAACCAAGAAAATTCTTCACTAAACTACATCTTTGAACTCTAGCTAAAATATTTGACAAAATTATTCACAACAACCTTAAAGTAATGACAGCATACACAAATAAACTAGCTATTGATCAAAAGGATTTGTGAAAGTGATGGTGAATGGTGATAAACAGTCCCTTTCTTTTGAGAGATTGGAATATTCTAACAAAGACTCAATGCATTCAGGAACTTAGTAGGCCACAATTTAGGAACAATCATCTAAACCTAGGCAAAGAGTAGACATGGTGTACAACTAAGCTAAACCGCCGCGACACATTGGTGCTTTGACGTATACTTGAAGTACGCGGAGGACTAATGCTAATTTTTGAGATAACCTCCAAGTTCAATTAATTAAGTTCTGTTTTCCTTATCATGTTGGCACGAGAACGCGGAAAACAACCAATCACATTCGGCCACGTCATCCCCCACCTACTCATATCTAGTATAAATAGCAGCATTTATTTCATTAGAAAGGGTTAGCATTTGAATACTCACTAATATTATATTTCATTCTAGCTCTTGTATTAGGCTTTGGACCGTAACTCCCGTTCGGCCATTTCTCTGTAATCTGCACTATACATTTATACAATTGGAGCTATTGAGTGAGAGTATTAGTTGTTAGTCTTTTCTTAAACACTTTCTCTTATTAATTATCCTTCATATCCAAGGGTTGGTGTTGGACCTTTGTATCCACCGGGACTTAAACTCAACATTAGGCACACCCCTTCCTTGGCTTTCTTGGCATCTTTCGCCCGCTTCTTCATCACCCAGTCAAAAGCATCCCAAAGAGGTCGGAAAAACTAAGAACGTTAGGATCGAACGGTTTGGGGAAATGCTCCATAATCAAGTCAATGTTATCATCAATAAGGATGTCCAGACTCCTGACTAGGGTGTCCCGAGCGAGAGCCTTCACGAAATCCTTCCGTTCTGCAGTTTTATCTAGAAGCTCAATACCGGCTAGAAGGGGCTTATCACTAGTGCAAAGATGCTGATCGAGATGTTGAGCAAGGAATTCCCGAGCAGTGTTTTCCAACGCGATGTTCAGATCAGTACCTCGCTGGAAGTCGATGACCGCTTGCTTCATGATCATTGAAACATCGACGGTGAAAGGAGCAGGGGCGTTCTTTTTCCTTGGTTTTCTGAATCTTCACCTCGGCCTCCTCGACAGCCTTAAGTTTGGCTTTAAGAAAGTTGATCTCCCAATCCGCCGATGGACCCCTTGCTCAACTTCGGCCAGTTCAGCAACGGCTTTATCCCCCTTTATGGCCCGCTCTTGAAAGTCGGTGGCCATTTTGTGAGTGACCGCAAGGAGGGTCTAGGCGTCATCCTGCTGCTCGCGAGCTAGAAGCATCATCTCCCGCTCGGCAGCCAGGAAGGCCTTGTGGTAGTAAACCCCGACCACAAATATGATCACACTGTAAGAAACAGAACATGATAGATCTTGGGAAGAACATGAGAATGAAAAGATTAATACCTTAGCACTTTCTAAATGACCTGCCTCGACCATGTTGGTCAAGTGGGTCATCCCTGTGAAGCTTGGGGGGGTCTTTAGAGCCACACTGCACCATAAGGAGGTGGCTGTCTGGCCCAACAACGTTTTACCCTCTGAACGGGGCCCCATGCCGGAAAACTCCACGTGCGACCGATCGGTCACCTCGGCATCAGCGGGCATGATCTCACTGGTTAAAAGGGGAGGAGGAACCGTCTTTGGTTTAATCAGCTCAGGGCCAGTCAGATCCACCACTTCATCTGAGTGGGGTCTCTTCCAAGTAGGTTCAGTGATGCCGCGGGGGGGGGGGGGGGGGGGGGGGTCGAAATGCTGGATAATCTTGCCACCCTCAACGGTAAGTTTCCCCTTACCTTTCCCGACCGGGTGAGATGGGGTAGAGGAATGGACCGGATGTCTCATCTCAGCAGAAGGAATCACACCTACAAGGAGGGAATATTGCCAATAAAAAAAATGTTACACATAAATAAGTCGCACGTCTGAAGTACAAAGGAGTCACCTATGCCGGCGGCCAGGATTTTGGAAGGTGTCACATAAGCCCGAATGTTCTGAGCCCTATTTATAGGCTGATAGCACCATTTCAACAACTAGTCAAAGGGGGAAACGTAGCAGGGAGCGTCCCTAGGGACACGTGTCACGCAGAGATGGAACATCAGGTAATCATGACATTACCTGGGGAACCTAATCGACAGCCGCAAAAAACCGTCAAATCGTCACTTCGGGATGGTACCGAACGGCGGATAAACACGTTTCTATTTCCTTATGTCCCAAGCACGCTCAGAACATCTAAAGTGGGGTGCTTATGTTGAGATATTAGGGCCCGACCTAATAGACCAGTCCAAAATATCCCTAGAGCCCAAGAACATGGGCAGTGCCTAAAGGAGGTCTAGCGGAGCAAGTAGGTCCCGAACAGGATCCAAGTAACTGATGAAGAACCCGGTCAGCACATCCCGAATGGGCCTTATTCCACACTTGACGGATGATCACCATTCCTCTTGATTAATGGCTTAGTGGGTCCTGGAACCGATTGGGGAGCCGTACAAGTTGCAGGGTGCATTCAATGTTAGAGTATGGGGGCTACAAGTGGGAGCATGTGTGCGCAAATGACAAAGAAAGCAACTAATCACATTCGGCCACGTCATCCCCCCAACTACTCATATCTAGTATAAATAGCGGCATTTATTTCATTAGATAAGGTTAGCATTTGAATACTCACTAATATTATACTTCATTCTAGCTCTTGTATTAAGGTTTGGACCGCAACTCCCGTTTTGTCATTTCTCTGTAATCTGCACATTAATACAATTGGAGCTATTGAGGGAGTATTAGCCGTTAGTCTTTTCTTAAACACTTTCTCTTATTAATCATCCTTCATATTCAAGGGTTGGTGTTGGGCCTTTGGATCCATCGGGACTTAAACTCAACAGTACTCTTAACAATCTACAATTCTATAATACTCTCGTGATATAAATCATTTTCCATAATATAAAAACATTATGAATAACAAATACTCTGCCATCCATAAAGAGAACTTGTTTTATTACACAAGTATAAAAAAGATTGGTTATATAGTGAATATCAATAATATATGCATCTATCACATACATATATACTCAGTTTATGACACATGACTTAGGAACATACAAACTTGTTCAATTTAGAAACTAGACTAATTTATGAAACGGCCAATTAGTATTATAACTTATCAAAGTAACAAATCTTGAACCACAAAAAGTAAAATAGGGAAACGGAGGGAGTGATAATATTTAGTTGTTATATTTCTTCTCATTTACTTAACCTATCCAATTCAACCAAAACATGATTGATTCCTTTCCCTTTATAACTCTCCAGAAATTCATCATCAAATGGCACAAGTTAGGCATTTGAGCAGAATGTACATAATTTTTTTTTTGCAAAAAAGGCACAACAAAATAAAGGCTCAAGATGCCTCACACTCGGTCAGTTTCATTGATTTAGTTGTGTCCCGCCATAGCTTGCAACCTGTGCAACCAGTTGACATACTGACCTTGTTCCTTCTTGTGGAGGTGGAGTATGAGAAAGCTCAACAGATTTTCATCAATTCCCTTAGCTTGCAGGTACTGGAGGAACTCGCTTTGCAGTCGAGGGTCCAAAGAACTGAAAAAAAGAAGGATCCCAAACACGCAATTAAGTATAACTTTGAAGCAAAACTCAAGCAGGATCTTCTTGATGCAACTAAAGACAAAAGTTAGCGAAAAATGAGCTGTCCTTGTTCATAGAGATTATGTGCCAAGTGATTGGGGATGGTGATTAACTGAACAAAACAAAACTGTCTTGTGCCTGCCAAATAGAAGAAACTAAATGAAGCTAGTTAAAAGGCAGTTGATAAATAAAGAAATCACCTGAAAGAAGGGCCTCTGTAAGCGGAACTATCCAGGGCTGCTGCTGCTTCTTTGAGGTAATGGGCATTATTAATTTGAAAGTTTGATTCCCCACTGTCACTGAATGCTCGACAATCAAACTGCAGGATGGAACTCAACCCCGGCTTTTTCATGCATACTTTAAGCAAGGTCTCTCTGGGAAACATAACATCTTCATACTCTACACGAGGGGTTTCAGCACCCAGGATAGCTGAAACAGATACTTCCTCACCAGATTCAAATCTCCTCTGCAGAAGAACGTCTTGGGTGTTACACGAATCCCATTCAATTGCAAAATCTCCCAAGCCACCGTGTTCCTCATTCTGTAATCATTAAAACAAAACTAATTCACATTACAGATTATCATCAAATACTTTCTAATAGCCAATTCACTTATTCACATCAATAAAAACAATACAGCTGATGCATCAACGTAAAGCAGGTAGGTTCACTGCATCTATTTGAAACGGAATTAGAATTGGAAACCCATCCCCATAAACGGACGAAGCTTCGAGTGTGAGTTTGGATCATATGCCCTTTCGTCAATAATCCAAATATCAAGCCACCTCTACGGGTAGGGATTACGTTTTTTAGTAAATAGCAAGAATAAGGATGAAAAGTCTAGGCTCGCTTAAGAGGATTGCTTGACCATACCACGATGGGGCGGGGTGTTCACCTGAAAAGATCTTGGGGTAGAGAGCTCATGGTTGATTTCTGATTGCAAAGCTTTCAGTAAACCGGAGTCCTCAATTGCTCTGCGAGCTGTGCGCAGCACAGTGGTCGCTTTTGTCATTTCCTCACTCGAGTCGTTGGTGCGTGCAAAGGAACCAAATCAGGTCGGACAAACTCAGCTGGCGCTCTGTAACCAATTGTCTCACAACGATGTGAGCCTGAGGGAATATAGAGGCGGCTGCCGACCGCTCAACTGCCCGGATTAGAAAAATGCCCTGTTTGGACTTCTGTAAAATGGGTAGAGGGCTGACCCCTCGTTTTGCTAGGAGTACTCCAAAATGTACCCCATTTTTACCCCAACCTCTAATGTGTGGTCATAAATAGCTCAATTCATTTAAGTGGTGCCGCACTTAAATGAATTGACCCATTTATGGCCACACATTAGGGGGTGGATGTAAAATTGGAGTACATTTTGGGGTACCTTTAGCATTTGTGAACCCTCAAATTGGGTTAATCGATCAAATTGATAAAGTTATGGTTGAATAAGTTAGAATTATAAAAAATATATATTTAAAATATATAATATAATGCGGTTATTGATGATAATTGTGATTTTATAAATGCATTCTTTTTAATATTTGATGATAAAATTGTCATTTAAGAATGTTAATTATATAATATGAAAATGAGAACTTTTATATTACACTTCGAAAAAAAGAAAGTAATAACTTTGGAATGAGACGGAGGGAGTATTAAATTAATCAAACAAGGAAAAATTATATGAAAAAAACTCAAATAGTAACTCTGAAAAATAACTTCAGTCAATTAATCAGAAAAATAACTCTGATTTTACTTATTTGTATATATTATTACACAATTCAGCACACGAAATCAAATATTTCATATTTAGTAAAAAAAATGGTTGATAAAGTTGATAAGTTGAAAATAGGGGTTACAAAATATGCTATGATCTAAAATTGACTGAATCCGATGAAATGTATGAAATTCTAGCTGAAGAGACTGAATTGGTTGAATCTGCTGAATTATGAAAAAATAAATTTAAAATATATTTAATTAGTAGAAATATGTAAATATTACATGAAAAATAGTTTAAATGATTCTATTCACTAACTTCAACCAATTCAGACACAAATTCAACTTCAATCTTACTTATTTTGATAATTACACAATAACAAATTACACAATTCAGCTCGTGAAATCAAAACCTACGTCTTTGCTAATAAAGATAACTGACAAGTGTGAGAAGATGAAAATAGATGTTATCATAAGGGGTCCTAGTTAATTGTCTAAAAAGGCACCATGTGGATAAATAGTTAAGTTGGGGTTAAAATCGAAAAATGTGCTAGATTAAAACATTACCCAACTTAGGGGTTCTATTTAAAAGATATCCTTCTTATGCACATTCTTCTACCAATATCTTTTTCAAGTTTCATGTTCTCATTTCTCCTAATGATGCAATTGGCATTTATTTATTTACTTTCAATTCTGCTTCTAGTTGAGGAATAGTTATGGGCTAATGTCTATGTATATAACAACTTTAAAATATGTGATCTTCAGATATTGTTTTCATCTCATATGTGAAATATTCTATCGCGGGGTTTCACTTCTACAACTTAGTTGGCAACATGGCATACCGGATTTGTTAGTAATTGGCAATGGGGGGAAGTGTTTTGTTTAGGGTAACCGGTTGATAGTCCCTGTTTCTGTAACAGCAATGAATAACGATCTAACAACGAAGATTAAACGTAAGGATGAACACAGATTGAATCAATGTAAAACCCTCTTTGATAGACCGTGAACTCGTACAACAGAAAGATATGCGCGTAAGGCTTTAGAGAATAAGTACGACGTTAACCTAATCCTAAACCCTCGGCTCCCTTTTTATAGGCGAGGTTTAGGTTAGGCGTACAAGGCTTTTAGCCTGGTTATATGGGCCTAACACTTGGCCCAAGTGCTATCTAATTCATGCACTAATTAAATACAAGGATTAATAATAAAGCTAATCTATGACAAACTTGATTCACAATTAAAATATCTCCAACAATCTCCCCCTTTGTGATCAAGTTCCACTCTGTTATTGCTTCTGCGACTTGAAGTAGTGCTTCCTCATATTTAGTGCATGTTCATAATGCCTCAGCATATTTCTCTTTTCTAGGCGATCGTCAATGGCCTTTAAAATTGTCTCTACTGTAGAGTGTTCCTTTTGAACATAAGACGATGCCTCTTGAAGATTTTCCTCTAGCTCTGTCTTCATCTTTAGAAGCTGTTCTTTGATTATCTTCAGCGTTCCGTCACAGTATTTCTCAATTTCATTGACTACCATCAGGCGTTTTTCGTTCTTGTGGTTCAGATAAGTGACTGCTGGCGGTGTGAAGAAGATGTGGTAAGCTGGGAAGTCTTCGAGTTCTGGACCATACAGTCTTGGCTTTGTCAGATTTGTCTTTGTCAAGTTGCACTCAATAGCCATCTGTAGGTCATGTGACGAATGTACTCTGATCTGTCTGAGCATGAATCTCTTGATTGCTGCAAGACCTTCGCTGTATGTTTTGCTCTGCCTGACTGGATGGTATCTATAGGCCATGAACATTTGATAGATGTCGTCGGGTTTAAGCATGATGAAGTCATTCTCTTGACAAGTAAATTCACTCCCGTCAGTGCGTTGAAGCCTGTAAGTATAGAATGTCACTCCGTGATAATCTTCAGCCTTCACTTGTAGAATTTGATGAATCGGGAGAATGTTGGACTTCAAGTCTTGTTCCATCAGCTCTCTCTGAGTATCGGTTGACCTTTGTAATAGCATATGCAGATGACCTCCAGTCTGCTTTCCTTTTAGATGAGTAAGGCCTCTTAGCTTCAGTTCATTCAACGGTTTGACTTTGTCTAGTCTACGCCAGATATGCTCTCTGATTTCCTCTTGGAAGGGGGCTTTGATTCGAACGTTGTCCCAGGGTTTCTCTGTCTTGGGAAGTCTTCCCGCTGATTGTCTTACGACGGATTCAAGAGTTTTCTGGGATTCCTTGTAGTTCTCCCCTTCCTTGCGTTCATCGTCCTCGAGCCTAATGATATCTTCAGAACATTTGTTGATTAGCTCTCGTAGCCACCAATTTCTCTGCATGTCCTCTACTTCAGCCTCATTACGGAGATCATCCCATTCTGTCCATTGTCTTGGCCATTTATCATATATCACCGCCTCCTCCAGTGCATCGTGGATGTCTTTGCCTGGGGAAATGTATGGAACTCTTTGCTGCTTTTGAGGCGGTGATTGTTCCTGGGTAGCACAACCGGGTTCACTTGGATTGCCCGTTGACATCAGCTTAGAACTAGGTTCCAACTAATGGCCTGATGTAAAAGATGTACCAGTGGTAGCATCATCAGGACTTCCATCCCCTCCTCGGTTGGTATCTCTGGGAGATACGCCTCGGAATGTTACTTCTAGCTCGACCAGGCTAGATATTTTGGCTGTGGGTGGTGGCTGTTGGTTTGTCGAGGTTTCGGGTTGGATGGGCTGTGGAGTTTGGCTTGGTAAAGTAGTTTGCTCAAGTGATCGAGGTCGCTTGTTCTCCCCCTCATGAGGATCCGAATCATCGGGGTCCTCATGGGAACGTTTGCGACCACGAGGACTCTCCTTGCACTTGCTCTTGGTTTCCGGTGAAGAAAGGAGGGCTTCGAGTATGGCTTGCTGATGAAGGGTAAGTTTGTCTTCAGGGGTGTTTAGGAGGTTGTTCAGCAAAGCCGATGCAAGAGTGTCGAAGGATAGTGAGGAGAGATCGATGGAGGGTGTGGTCGGGTGTGGGGAGAATACTGGTTCTGTATCCTGGGTTCCCCGAGAAAGTGAAGGAATGAGAATTTGGTTGATGGATTGGTGAGATAGAGGGGTGGAGGATACGGGTTGTGTATGGGAAATGAAAGGTTCGGGTGAAGGTTGGGGTGGGGTTGTTCAGACCGAACCGCTTGGGTGGTCCTAAATTCCTGTGCTAGAGCGGTCATTGCATCTTGCACCCATGGTTTAATGGTGGAATCTAGGAAGCGATTTAGTAGAACGTTTACGTCTTCAAAGGTTGGGTGACCAGTTACGGGGGTTGTAACTGTTGACACAGCATCAGTGAAGATTGCTGATGTGTGGCCTGCGTGCAATGATGGAATCATTGTAGGCGTAGCAGGGCTTCCAACCGTCATAGCTTGCGCTCTGGTTGTTGCGTTCAGGGTGTGTGCACCTGTATGTGCAGTGAATAGTGTAGGTGTCCTAGAAAAGGAAGAAAATGTGGGGAAAGTGACACCTAGACTCGATGTGTTAGAAGAAGGGGTTTTGACCTCGAGCGATAGGTCAATTGTACGCTCAACTGATTCAGAAGGAACCAGTGAGGGGGCGGAGTCCCGTTCTTTTGAAACAATAACCTGTTGAGAGGCTATCGAGTGGCTGGGAGAGGGCTGTGCTTGCGCAGTTGAGTCAGATGCTTCGACTTCTACCCGGGAACCGAAAAGATCGGCTCCTGTGCTTAAGGATTCAGCTCGGCTTATCTGGATAAAGGTATCGCAGCCAGCGAAGATGTGCTCGTCTGCCTTATCAATCAGGCTCTTTCTGACTCGGGGTTGGGGCTTTGCCTTAACAGCCTTGTCATTCTTAACCTTGGCCCTTTTCTCCCGGATGACGACTTCTTTAGAATTCTTAATTTGATGAGTTGCCTCGTCATAGTCGTCCTTTGAGCAGTTTGTCTCGCTGGGATCGGCTCTCGGTTTAGCTATCTCCTTGATAGTGAAGACTTTGGGTTTGCCAGCTATTATCGGTGCTGCATCTTCAGCAGTGATTCTTTTCTTCTGTGGAGATTCGACTGGCAGCTTCCCTTTTCTGATCAGGGCATATGTGTGCTCAACATCCTCACTGTCGTTGTCGTCATCATCATCACCCGAGCCAGATTCCTCACTATCTGTGCCCACGCTCTCGGATGCCTCGTCGTCAGTGTTTGTTTGAGCTTCATTTGACGATTCATTGGCTGTTTCCTCAGCGTCTGTTTCGGTGCCCTCAGCCGCCTGACTCGTCTCTAGAGAGTCGTCAGGCTTTCCTTCATTGAGCGAACCGGCCACTGGTTTCTGTGGCTTTTGGGCTCTCTTTGGACCCTTACCATCACTCGGCTTTGTCCCCGGGGTAGGTCCAGCTGGGTTTTGCTGAACCATAGGGACAGTTCTCTCAGTGGCTTCCTTGTACTGCTGGACCGCTGGATTTGAAGATTTGACAAGCTTGAGCAGAAATCCAGGGATCCTTAGACCGAAGACAGGA